TTCTTCACTGAAAATTTTTAAATCTCCTTTCACGGATTCCTGCGAATTGACAGTTCTAGGGTGAGCCGGTTCACATAATTACTACACAGTCTGAAAATGCGAATCATAGTAAAATCCGTTCTTCTTTTGATGAATCCCTGGAGCTAAGGCTGTGCAAAACGCAGTCGCGGCCGGCCGCGGCCGAAGACGGGGGTAGGTTGCCGTGAACCAATACGGCCGTCCTTTCGAAAATAAGCTGATCTACCCAAGAAGTACTAGGGCCGCTAGGCCGCCGTACCCTACCTTTTTCATAAGTACCATTTTTAAAATGATGCGACCGGCCGTGGCACAGCTTTGCCTGGACACTCTGTACAAAGGTCCCCAGGCCGATTCTGTTTGTAATATGCCGACAGTGTTTGAATTGACAGGAGACAGACAAGGACGGGCCGTTGACGGACTGTCGACGGACCAACTCGGGAAACCGACTTGACAGTTTAGATTGGAATTCGGCCAGGACACAAATTTCATACGGCCACTAGATTACAGAATAAGGACATAAGCTAATATTCATAACATCACAAGGCCTCAAAAAATAGGCTGGAGAAAGACGGCTGAATGGTAGTCGAAGAGGCTCGGAGTGGTCTTGTATCCGGTGAATTTCTGTTTCTTCCTTTGAGTTTATACAGTATTCTTTCAATGTTCTCAGATGTATATGTGATATCAGTGCGGAACTTCAAAGTTGGATTAGCAACAAGAGCCAAAGCAGTCTCCAAGTATTCCCTCTTTTTTGTCGATTTTTGGAAACATTTTTGTTTAGAACGCAGTTGAGAGAATTTTAGTATCTTCCACATTGTTTTCCCCTTTTCTCTGATTTTTTGAAAACTATAATTGTATGATACTGGAAACACTCTAATAGAAGGCAACCCAAACTGTCAAATTTGAGCCTATATATCTCGTTTCCTGTGAAAGATATCAAAAGATGGTTGGCAGATAAAATGTTTTTGATATTTTGATAAACATTTTGTTAGTTGTTCAACTTTTCATATCTTTAACAGGAAACGAGATACAGTGGCGAGAAATGGTGAGGAAAATTTTTTCGAACATTCGTAACTTTGTTCAAAATTGCTCAATCGACTTGAAATTCTGCATGAGAGTAGCTGTAAAATCCAAAAACATAAAAATCGGTATTTTGAAAATTTCTCATTCTCGGAATTTTCAGAGCAGTTTCAGATGTAACAGTGGTTCGTGAATCCAAAAAAAACTTTTTTTCCAGAATTTTTTCTGGCTTTGATTTTAGATGTAACATGATTCTCAGTGTCCAAATATGCACCAAAAATTTGAAGAATTTTGGTTTTAACTCAGCTGAAAATGCAATTTTAACTCAGCTGAAAATGTATTTTTGATGCTCAAAATTTCACAAATGATGTGTTTTAAGTTGCTTATCAGTTTTGTAACAAAAGTTTTTCAATTGTATAGAAAAATTTTTTTCTTTTTTTTCACATCTAGGGAAAATCTCTAAAATCTAAAAATGAGAAAAAAATTTTCTATACAATTGAAAAACTTTTGTTACAAAACTGATAAGCAACTCAAAACACATCATTTGTAAATTTTTGAGAATCAAAAATACATTTTCAGCTGAGTTATGGCAAAAATGCCGACACATACCTTTTGTGCTCTGAGCTTCATAACTCGAGAGCCCGACTTCCAAAATTCCTCAAAACTTTTTTGGTGCATATTTGGACACTGAGAATCATGTTACATCTAAAATCAAAGCCAGAAAAAATTCTGGAAAAAGCCAGAAAAAATTCTAGAATATATGTGTTTGGATTTTACAGCTACTCTCATGCACAATTTCAAGTCGATTGAGCAATTTTGAACAAAGTTATGAATGTTCGAAAAAATTCTCCTCACCACTGCTCGCCGCTGTATACGGGATCAAAGTTGGATGACATTCTATTAGACAGATTACGGTAATCTGAATCTCTTCGAACCTAACTGGCTAATTGTATAGTTTATTTCAACCCAAACTGTGCATCCAACTCTCTTAATTCGAAACATTCTTTCATCGAAAAATTGGTTTATTACAATCCAGAGAAAAGATACAAAAAGCAAAACGATGAATTGAGTTTTTTGTTGAAATTTTTTATTGAAGCTGTTCAGACTGTTGTATTTCTTTTTTCAAAAAAACCAAACAGAAGACTTCTGAATGTGGACCGAGAAAAAACAGGTGGGATTTCTATGTGATGAAAACAGAAAGTTGGATGCACACCTTTTTCAGTTCAAAGAGAATTTTAAAAAATAGGAAGAGAATAAGAATAGACCACTAAACGATGCATTTATAAACAAGGAAGAGAAGACATCCGAAAAATTTTTTTGGGTGGTGGGAATCAGAAAAAAACGGTTTGAAGTAAAAATTATATAGAAATGATGGTGTGGAGTGGGAATGCACAATGTGCAAAGAAAAAAGAAAGGGATTGGGGGGGAGATGATGAAGAATTAGGATCTAGTCTTGGTCTGGGAATGGTCCGGCCAAAACCTTCTTGATGAAATCTGAAAATAAATTTATAAGATTCAGGGGTCCCCATACAGTATCTTACCCTCGTACTTGACCATGCCTTCTCCGTCTTCAACTCCCTTGAGGAGCTCATCAGCCTCATCAGCAGAGAGTCTCTCTCCGAGTGCCAAAAGGATGTGTCTGAGTTCGGCGGCCAAGATCTTTCCGGTCTCTTCCTTGTCGAACACCTTGAGTCCCTCGAAGAAGTCAGCATAAGTTCCTTGCTCCTGCAATTATAGACACATTTTTCAATCCATTCCCCGTTAGTACATTTTATATCTTCCCCCTCACAAAAGTTTTGCCAACACGATGGCTTCTTTCTTTATTACACTGCGCCGCCGATTCTCGGAGGAGTCTCTCTCCCACACATCAAACGGGATCTCTATCTTTTTCTCTCATTCTAAAGATTATTGATTCATTGGAGAAGAGAGCGGGGATGAGCAACGCGGAGAAAGATGAAGATGATGGCATGTGCCGTTTGGGATAAGAAACAGATAGAGACAAGAAAAAAAAACAAGATGAGCGATGTTCGGAGAAGACAAATGAAGAGAGAGAGACGTCATCAGATATTGGTATTGATGGGTCTTATATATTTCAATATTTCTATTTTCCGAAGTATCGATTTTCGGAGGTTTTCGTAAAGAAATGGAGTTTTCAGAATTATGAGTTACTGTAGAACATTTTGGGACAACATCCAAAAATAGTGTCAAAATCGAAATTTTCACTGTAACCCATGAGAACTTTAGCTAGCAAATAGCAAGTTAAGAAGATTCTAGACATAAAGTTAGACAGTCAAATACAGTAAGAATGTTGAACAATCAACTACAGTAATCTCACTAGATCAGCAACTGATGATAAAATTTGCAAACGAATATATCAAAAAAAAGGATCCAAACTCAAAAATCTATTCAATTGGAACATCAAAAACTATTAAAAATTGACGAAAAGGCAACTGTCAAATTAAGCTACAGTAATCCAACGAGATGATCTTGAAGCTACAGTAACCGGAAAATTTAAACTGTCAAAAGAGCTACAGTAACCGGGAAGATAAAAAATGTCAAATGAAGCTACAGTAATCCTATCATAATCATCTCCTAGCTACAGCAATCGATTCAAGCTATAGTTTTCAGCCAGGTTAGCATGCCAGAGATTGCTACAGTAACCTAACAATCATTTCATCAAACTTCAAATGGCTAAAAGTAGTTTCAGTGAATTTTCTACTTACAAGAAGTTTTTGTTTCTCTAAAAATCTAATATTTGCTTACTCCGAGATATCCTTACGTAAGTAGCTCGCACTATTTGATTATCACTTGGCGCGCTATCTCTCACTCTCTCTCTCTCAATCCCAAAAAACGAATTTTACAACAAAATAAAACGAACGAACCTTTTCCTTGGAGAGTTGCTCGTAGATTGGGAGCCACTCCTCGAAGGTGATTCTCTTCTCACCCTTGCGCTTGAATTCCTGTCCGGAGGCCTTCACGACCATAGCCTGAGTTGGCTTGAGTCCGGCGGCGCGGGCGACATCTCCGATTTGGGTTCCGTCGATCTTTCCGTCGAGTTCCTCGTCGTAGAGGTTGAAGATCTCCTTGAGAACGTCTGGAGAGATGAAGAAAATGAAAAAAGAAACAGGAAGAAGAAGGGTTTTCAGATTCTATGGCTTGATTCCGAAGTTCAAAATAAACGGATAATTCAGAATTTAAGACCTTAGAACTTGGTGAAACATTATTCAGATTCTAAAGCTTCAGAACCATAATAGAGAATTCAGAATCTAAGATTTTGAAACACCGAATATGGGGGACCTTATCAAAAATTCTAATTCTAGACTCACCTTGCGATGGAGCTGGCATTATGTGATGTGTGAGTGTTTGGTGGGGGACTCGGTGATGAGGAAAGAAGTGAGAGTGAAAAGAGAAGCGACGGTGGGGCCACCCTAAGTGTACACTGTGGAAGCTCCTGCCTTCAAGATGGGGGCGGATGGGGAGAGGATGGGGCGGGGATGTGTGATCTCTCCCGGCAGCACACTATCTCTCGACTCCCGATCTTGAGGGAAGGAGAGCGAGAGCCCCAAGAAAGTTGGGGGATGTAAAGCCTCCGAGGATCCGAGGTAGGGTGGGATAGCGTGCGATTCGAGGAGAGCGAGTATTCCGATTCGAAGAGAGAGCAGGTGAGAGATGCGGTAGGCTCAATGAGACGGCAGAGTGGGAAGCATAGAGGTTTTTTGTGGAAGAGTAACTGTTTCGTTTTTTTTGAGAGTTGCAAGGGAAAGATCTGGTTTTCAGAAAGTTTATGAAAAATGACTAAAAGATGGGTCAAGATTAGGAAACAACAAAAGTTCCAGAAGTCTGGAATCGAAGCGAGTATATATGAATATTAGGGGGAAAGGAAAGGGACAGAACAATTTGAAAATGTTTAACAATGGGGGATCAACAAAAACAAAAAAAAACAATTACAATAACGAAATGAAGTTCTACTCGGTGTATCTGGCCAAATCGAGACGTGGTACGATATTCATAGATTGGAGCTCCTGGAAGAGTAGTTTGCAGGCATATGGAATCTTGATATTGGCCATGGACTTGCTGGAACGACACTTTTGACACCATCCTTTGGATCCAATCACTCCACAACCAGTACAGACATCAACCTGGAAGAATCATAATTGTCATTTTCCCATTTAGGATATCTTTTTGTTGTGACCTATTTGTTCCCAGAAGTTCAGTTCATTTTTCTCTCTCGACGAACCCGATTAATTCGTTGTAAACGCGTGTCGAGTTCTCTCTGTTTCTCTACTATTATTTTTTCCCGATCTTACTCGGATATTTGTACCCTCCCAATTTTTAGCACATCCATTTCTCCCTCTCTCCCCACCGCGTGCCACTTCAATCGCACATTTTCTCGGCATTCCACTCCTGGGAGCACAAAAAGCGCAGAGCACCCACTGATGCTGCTACTGCTCCTCTTCTTCTTCTTCCTCCTCAGTTTTTCTTCTTCTTCGTCTTTCTCTGCCAAAGATTTTACTCGAAAGGATCCAGGAAGAAAGAGTGATCGGAAGAGACGCAGACTGACTAGTCGTTGGGGGATATACACTGGCGAAATGGCAATCAAGAAGAGATCAGCTAGCTGTCTCGTGTATCTTCTACCTCAGCACTACTCTCTCGCATGCACCGGCAATCTCTTCTCTTCCCTATTTTTCTTCCGTTGACTATTTTGTGGGGCAAAAAAGTAGAAGAAGGAAAGGATGATGATGAAAATGAAGCAAAGAGACTTGCTGCATCAGATAAATGGCTCGATAGATAGAAGGGTCAAGTAGTGATAACACTGGCACCGCAGTGTGAGATTGGAACCTCAGATGAATGTTTATTAGGTTCCACTTTTCGACTCTCCACCATGAAGTACGCGGACTGCGGACTCTAACATAGTAACTATACAGTTTCAGCTGTTATCATAAAGTGCTAGATTTGCCAACCGCAGATAAGGGATTCCTGGAAAAGGGAGAGGACGAGCAAAGTCTACCCACGCAGTAACAACCTCGGCACAGTCTCTCGCGCGGTGGGAGAAGCCCTCGCAACAGTTTCGCTCCTCTTTTCAAAAATCCACTTGAGTGTTACGCTTGCGGCGAGGGCGACCTAGTGTAATGATGAGTGAGCAAAAATTGCGCACATTGGAAACAGCGACGAACAAAAAAAACCTCAATGGGGATAAGAGGGACGAAAGATCGGAATAGTACCTTGAACTCATCGGACGACACCATAAGTCGTTCGATCAGCAGCATCGATGCTCCGTAGGCAATGAGGCAATCTCTTTCCATTTCTCCAAGACGCAGACCTCCTTCTCTGGATCTTCCTTCAGTTGGTTGACGAGTGAGAGCGGCTCTGGAAATTCAAACTTTCAGAAGAACATACAGTCACAATAACATACCTAGGACCTCTAGCACGAGCGTGCATTTTATCCAACACCATATGCTTCAACTTTTGGTAGTAGATGGGTCCGAAATAAATATACGCAGAGAGTGGTTGACCTGTGATTCCACTAGTCAACATATCCTTTCCCATATAATTGTATCCTCTAGCGGCCAGCTCTTCGCATACATCCTTTACTTGATCTCCTCCGAACGCGGTTCCATAGTGATAGGTTCCATTCATCACTCCTGCTTTTCCAGACAGCAACTCCATCAGTTTACCCACTGTCATTCGAGAAGGATATCCATGAGGATTCATAATCATATCAGGAACCATTCCAAGGTCATTGAACGGCATATCTTCTTGTTGAGCAATCAGTCCACAAACTCCTTTCTGGCCATGTCTAGATGAGAACTTGTCTCCAAGCTCCGGTCTTCGAGTCTGTCTCAGCAGCACTTTGAAAAGATGAGCTTCGTCTTCATTGTAAGTGAGCAAAACGCGCTCAGCATACGACGGAGTTGGAGTCTTGTAGGTGATAGAAACGTCTTTGTAAGCCACATCGCGTCCAGCAATTCCAATAGTATTAGCAGAAGCAGCAGATCCACTCTCTGCGCTGACTACTGGCATATATTTGTTGATGATCGTTTGCTTCGGAAGAATACGTGCTCCAGTGAAAACGATACCTTCTTGATCCAAGTTTTTATGCTTGAAAATCGGTTTCAAGGTTACTGAATCAACAGCGGGGCCCAGAAGACGATCGTAAGTCTGATTCGGGTACTTCTTGGCAGTTCCTTTTACATGTTTATACACCAGACAACGACCATATCCACGATCCAAAGAAGCTTTGTTAAGAACCAGAGCGTCTTCAATATCGTATCCACTGTATGACATGACAGCAATAATCCCGTTCGCACCAGCAGGAAGTTTCTCGAAGTTGGTCAACTCAATTGTCTGAAAATCTTAGTTTGAAAAAAATATTTCGATAATTAAGCTAACCTTCGACTTGACAAGTGGTCTCTGTGGATAGCATAACAAGTACATGATGGAGTCGATTCTCTTCTGTTGATTGTACGCAATAGTTCCCATCGCTTGCTTACCCATAGCACATTGATACGTGTTACGAGGAGACTGGTTATGGTGAGGATATGGAATTAGACCTGCGCAAACTCCCAAAAGTGTGAATGGTTCAATTTCCAAATGTGTCGTCTCGGCTCCGATTTCGTTTTCATAAACAGCGATTAGAGCATCGTTCATCTCATTTACATCCAGATATTCAACGATTCCATCATCTACAAAATCTTCGAAAATCCGTTTTCCCTCTTTCAACTCTTGAACATGTGTCTCCGTAAGCATTGGTTTTCCATGTCGGACAATTATATAAGGACGGCACAGGCGACCACCATCAGAGGAGATGAACACGGAACGATTGGTCATAGAACGGGAAACAGAAACGAACTCAGAGAGTAGACCACTTCTGAAATACATTTTTGTAATGATGGCAGGGAATTTTAGATGTTTTTACCTTCTCAAATCTCTGACCGCTTTCACAACTCGTTCCGGATCGACAGCTGTTCCAATGAGAACTCCGTTTAAGAAGATCAATGTGTTCTCTCTGAAACATAATTATGAGCAATAATAGTAATATTCACTTTACTTACGGTTTGTTGACATGAGAGAAATGAACATTATGCAAATCTTCAACTCCCGAGTTCAACAACAGCCGAAGCACTGGCTTCTCATCCGAATCGGTGGTGATGTGACTGATAAGGGCAAGATTTTTGACGAGACCGCAAGCTTCTCCTTCAGGAGTGTCACTGGGACACAACATTCCCCACTGGGATGGTTGTAGGGAACGAGGGCCGGAAACTTTGCGAGTCTTTTCGAATGTAGAATTGATTCTGGTCATCATTCCAAGCGCCGAGATATAAGATAGACGACTAAGAACCTGTGTGACACCAAGACGTTCCATACGGAATCTTTTGATGATCCAATTTCCTGTCGACATTGCATTGACTATGGTATTAGTGATCATATCTTGACGCATATGCTTTACTATATCCAACGGCGCAGCCATTGTCTTCATGAGCGCATTGTCCGCTATTCTCTTCAATTCAGAATTGAATCGTTTGAAGACGTCTTCAAAGAGAAGTGCCAACAGAGATCCTGCCAATTCAAGACGTTTGTTTCCATAGAAATCCCTATCATCAAGTTCATTCTCTCCCATTTCGGTCTGAATCAATCGCCTTGTCATCTGACCCAAATAAATCGCCTTCATTTTGAAATTTCCATCTGGACAAGCGATATGCGTGATCATCGAGTTGGACAGGAAATCAACAGCTTCGTGTTCCTTCGGCGCAGTCAAAACGCTTACAGAAGTTCCTGGTAGTGATCCGAATGGTGTGAATTTGCGTGCCTTAACTTTGGATGTGACATAAGCCAGAGCTTGTTGTTGAGTGTACACTCCTGCGTTGATGCATTCTTCGAGAGTTTGAGCGAACGCAGAAACGTACTTCTCTTCGTGTCCAATCGTGCTGACAATGTCGAAATCAGACTCGACGCCCATGGCCTGAAAAACTTTAACTTTAATCTTCCTTATACATAAAACGCTACATGCGTCTGTCTGTCCGCTTTTGAAAAGTTTGAAAAATAAATATAGGTTTATGTGACCCTCTAAGAAAAATGAAGAACGGAGCGACGAACCAGTAAAAAACCAGATTGAATGGCGCCGAAGGCACATCAGCTTGTAAATGCAATAAATTAAAAATGGTTACCTTGAAAATAATCGAAACTGGGACATCATCGGTGAGTTGATTGTGACGAACAGAGTATTTTCCTTTCTTCACAGTAACATATGTTTTACTTTTCCTTTCGGAAGTGGATGACAACACTTCACACTGCAATTCCTTACTCGAGTTCCTTCCAACCATGATACGATTCTTCGACAATTGTTCTTGGATCAGGATCACTTTCTCACTTCCTTTTACGACGAAATAACCTCCTGGATCATGTGGACATTCTTGAACTCGTGCTAGCTCTTCTTCTGCGAGATCTCGCAAAATACATTTGCTCGATCGAAGCATGATTGGCATTCGACCAATGACGAGATCCTTCTTGTACACTCGTTGATGTCCACGAGTATATTCAATGTCAACTGAGATGGGAGCAGAATAGGTCATATCGCGAAGACGGCATTCTTAGGAGTGATTTTGTCATGTGTCATGTTGAGTCCTTCTTCACTGCTTGGCTTCCCTACTCGGATATCCAGATATGTCAGATGGAAATTTGGATTCGCATCCGAAGTGATCTTTTGGTTTGACAGCATGATATTTCGAATTTCCACATTGACAAAGTGATCGAAACTGACCAAATGCTGCTTTACAAGACCTCGAACCTTCAGGAAAGCAGGAACCAAAAGCCATTTATCCTTTAACGGAAGACATTTCTGTTCTTTACCACTTTCTGATTTGTTTCGAGATCGGCCATTTGCTTGGCCGGAAGCCATCTGAAAGTGATAAATTGAGAAAATTCTGAAAGCCAACAATCAAAGACGATATTTAGCAGAACAAAGACAGAGAATCGAAAAAGAACTCATAGCAAAAAAAAAGAAAACTTTATGAGCAAAAAGACTATTCACACGGTGAATGATAAAAGAAAAGGCACAGTTTATAGCACACCCGGAAGCATCAATCATAACTAAAATTAATAAATACATTGGTTCCTATTATAATCTCTATTTTTCTATTATATGCTTTAAAGCTTCAGATCAGTGTTGTTTGGCAATGGCGAGAAGTAGTGGTCGATTACAGACTCTTTGACATCTGCCAATGTTGCTGGGTTCCACTTTGGATTGCGGTCTTTGTCGATGAGAACTGAAATCAAAAATATTTCCAGTGCTTTGAGAGATATTACTCACTTGCTCTGCAACCCTCATGGAAGTCCTTGTCAGCGAGGAATCTTTGAGTCAGACGATACTCCATAGTGAAGATTTTGGCGTAGTTCATCTTGCTTCCCTCTGTGATTTGGCGATGAGTAACCTTGAGAGACGTTGGACTCATCTTTCCGAGGAGGGCGGTTTGTTTTTTCGCCCATTCACTCCCATCTTTCTCGAGACTGGATAAAATGTCTTCGACACTTCGGGCTCCGAATGCGTCTCTGATTTGAGATAGATTTTTGGAAAGGCTGAACTCTGGAATTTTCTTGGGCTCGAATGAACGTATGACTTCATCCACAGAATTCTCATTCACGTCTTTCATACTGACAAGTTCTTTCTCCAACTTTGCAAGTTGTGCGGATTCGACGAAATGGGTAGCAAGTCCGGCATGGAAGGCGTCAGCCCCGAGAAGTCGATAACCAGTGAGAGCCAAGTACATTCCGAGGTTTCCTTTGAGCCGGGAGAGGAAATAGGATCCACCGACATCAGGGAACAGGCCGAGAGCGGTTTCTGGCATGGCAAGCATAGTTTTCTCGGTGGCGACACGGAATCTTCCGTTGACAGAAAGACCACATCCCTAAAAACTTTTCAATTATGATTTGGACAGTATGAGAAATACTCACTCCTCCCATGACAATTCCATCAATCAAGCAAACATACTGCTTGTTAAAAGTACCGATAAGATGATTCAAAATGTACTCCTCTCGGAAGAAGTCTTTATGCATCGTGCAGTCTTTTCCATTTTCGGCATCTTTGAAAGAGCGGACGACAGCTAGAACATCTCCACCAGCACAGAAGGCTTTCTCTCCAGATCCTTTCAGAATCACTAGATCCACGTCAGAAGATGAATTCCATTCCTGAAGTTTCGGGTAGAACTCGCGAACCATACTCAAGTTGAGAGCGTTCAAAGCCTTTGGTCTATTGAGTGTCACTACTTTCTTCGATCCATGACAATCGACCAGAATTTCTGACCGAACCGTTGAACTCATCGAGAAGGACATCTTTTGACAGAGTTCCTGGAAAAATACATTTTTGGCCGTTAAAAATCTTAATTAAGAGGTTAGTGTTCAAACAATAAACCTTGGCATTGAGTCCGCGCAAGAGTGCGGGCAAGTTTCGGACGGAACTTCCCATGTCTCTGAAAATTAGGTCTATCGGAAATAGAAAATAATAATAATAACGAATAGCGAAAAGTGTCAGTTTTTATAGGATGAGAAAGATACATCAATGATCAAAAAAAGCTTTGTGCACTTTAAAACTTTGTTCGGCCATAACAACAGTTGGGCTGAACTTTTTTGAAATTGAATTAGCACAACTTCTAAAATATAAATCTCAATTAATACATATTGTCGAATTAAAAAAAGTGGGATCTGAAAATTTGAAAGGCGTAGCTTTTTTGATCTACGAAAAAGTGCGGCAAAAACGTAATATTTCAGATTTTTGCCTCGTTCGAGCTACTTTCGCAATTAAGTTCGGTTTTTTGATGAAAAACATATTCTATAGATGCTATCAAATTCAGTTTTCAGTTGAAAAAACAGAAAGTGGGCGTGGCTATAAAATGCAACCTGCGGCAAGCCTTTTCGCAATAGCGCCGCATGCCTCTGCGAAAAAGTTTTTTTAATTTCCTTTCCATTGAAAGTGCTGAAATTTTGCGCAATCTACTTTTTTCCGTTTTTTTTTTGATTCCCCAATTTCAAAGTTTGTCCAGTCGACTGCAACGTCAATTTTCAGATATCTCCGCTCAAAATGGGTTCATCCGCACAAGAATGTGGCTGCAAGGGAGCTCGCTTCTGTGCATTGTGTGAAACAACAGAAAGAGTCAAAAAGTTACGAGTGGAAGAAGATAAGCACACCAATTATAAGGTATTTTTTGAAAATATGTTCGAAAGAAATGAATCAGTGAATTTAGGTTTTCGTGTACGATCGCGCTCGTCAGCTCGCCATCCCTACTGATAACCTGAATTCGAAATCATCACTTCAAGAAATCATTGATGGTATTAGCTTCTGGAAAAGTTATTTTGTAATGTTTTTTTATTTCAGAAACCGATGCATGTCACTCAACATCTGCTGAAAATGCAATCCAAATCGACGGGCTAACTCTGATCCACGATTTCTTAACAGAGGCTGAGGAATCCGACGTTCTAGAAATGATAGACACAGTTGAATGGGTTCAATCACAAAGTGGCAGAAGAAAGCAAGTAAGAAAAAATTTTGAAACATCCAATATCGTTTTTCTGAAAGTTCAGGACTACGGACCAAAAGTGAACTTCAAGCACAAAAAGGTGAAAACGGATTCGTTCATCGGAATGCCAGAATACGCTGATATGTTGCTAAATAAGATGAGCGAATATGATGTGACGAAGTTGGGCAACTATCAGCCATTCGAAATGTGCAATTTGGAATACGAGGAAGTGAAGAAAAGTGCGATTGAAATGCATCAGGATGATATGTGGATTTGGGGTAACCGACTGATAAGGTACGTTGAATCCCCTGTGTTTCCAAAAATTCTTGTTTTTCCAGTATAAATCTGATCAACGGATCGGTTATGACACTATCCAACGACTCAAAGGAATCCCTTTGTTACGTTTACATGCCGCATCGTTCGTTAATCTGTATGGCTGACGAATGCAGATACGAATGGAAGCATGGTGTACTGGCTCATCACATCAGAGGTCGAAGAATAGCGTTAACGATGCGTGAAGCGGGCAAAGACTTCCAAAAAGGCGGAGAGCTATACGAGAAGTACGGTGCTGAACTCATTCGTCTGGGAAACATTCGAGTACCACTCAACAAAACTTCCGCGTGATATAATTGAATAATTCCGTTGTTATTCCTTGTTACCTACATCGTTTGTTTAAAATTGAAGTCATTTTTGTGTGTCTGGTTCCCGTTCAGGTGCAAAGTAATTATGATGAAAACACAAAACATTGGTCGAAAATCGTTCCTGTCTGAATAATTGGGGTGACGTTGTGGGAAGGGAGCCAAACGAACATAGATTATAGGACAAAACATGAGAACCATGTGATTACCGGGAAAGATAAGAGAGGAACAGGAGCAACCGTAGTTTGATGATCGACCGATTGTCAGCTACAATCTGGAATCAAACGCAACGTGCAGAAAGTCACACAACAACAATTTGAATTCTATTCTCAAACAAAGAATAGAGTCTGTAGTTTAATTTTACTCCTAGATTACCATCTTTCTTTTAACTGTTTACCTATAGTTTGGTTTACCACGAGGCCATTCTAAAAATGGACCTTTTTCTATGAAAATAGTTAAAGGAAAGTGATCGATGATCTCGATTTGAAATTGTTTACAGAATGAAAACGAGATCAGGGTGTGTAAAACTGGTTTCGAATACAGTAGGATGGTGTGAAAGTGATTTGTTGCCTTCTGAGAACTTTTAGCGTGAATATCAGTCGGTGATTACCGTAAAACCTGTATTAGAAGTGCCCTTTTCATATTTTTTGTTTTAAATTGAAAATTCCCGTATGTTTTCGGTGAAAAACATTCTGGAAAATCCGAAGTTTCACAGAAATGTGTTGCAACATAATTAATTTGCTCAAACACTTTTTAAACTTTTTCAAACTTATGCATTTTGAATGAAAATTCGCCTAATTTTTGAATAAAAATTTTCGGAAAAATGGCCTGTAAGGACCCTCCGGAGGTACCCTGGAACAATAGAAGGGCCGGCCGTTCTAATACAGGTTTTACGGTAAATTCAAAGCGGTCGTGTCTTGTAAATGCGATCTAACGCGAATAACCGTAATACTACGCTCATCGAAAAAAGCGCGGTAAAAATTATTTCAAAAAATCTTTCGGTTAAGACACCGTGCGAAAAATCTTTCGGTTAAGACACATGGTCCCACAACTATGAATACAGTAACCTAGAAATAGATTTTCGTGCGTTTTCAGTCATTTTTCACTATCGAAAATTTTCATTTTTGGTTTTTGGGATTATAACTAAGTCAATTTATTTTGCGAAAATATTTATTGTTGGGTTACGGTAGCACTCGTTTGCCGGCTGTGTTTTCGAAAATTCTCCTTGAAATACGGTGGCCTAACTTGTGTGAAAATTCGGCCACAACTCCAATTTTTTTGCACAAGAATAATACCAGAACAATAAGCCCCCCCCCCCCCACGTTTCGCTCCAGACGATCGATCAGATGTGTCCCCCTACAGACACAGTGTGCACACTCCATGCATTCGCAGTGTTGCTGAACGTCGTCTGGGTAATCTGTCTCCTCGAGAGTGTAGAAGGTCTCTTTGATTTTTTCTTCATTCTGTTTCGGTACCTAGATAAGATATTGTTTCACAAGGAATTGGTCTTAAACAACTGAGAAATCCACTACAGTACTCCTATTGTTGAAATTTCTGACAAACGATAAGATAGCACTATAATAGTTCTTTGATCACGATACAGATCGATGTCTGATCGTTCCTTGATGTTTCCTTTTTCCCATATATATTCAATGTGATTTCTTCTTTTAACCAACCACCCCAAAATCAAAAAGCACACAAAGTACTTTTTCCCCCATCAACTACTCTTTCCCATCTGTCTGTTTCTCTCTGTGAATCTCATCTCTCCCCTTCAATCCTTTCCATCTGTCTTATCTCTGTCACCTCGTGGTTCTCTGCGTCTCTTCCTCTCCCACACTGTTTCCCCGGGTTGTTGTTCTACAGTTTGTGTCGTCTAAACTCCGCCCCTGTCCCCTCCTACCTTCTCACGTATTTTTTTTCTCGATCACCCACTGTTCATTGTCCACCATCCATTCGTTTCAGTCAACGAAGACAACAATGTTATGCTTCTTCTGCCATCCTTCTTCCCTTTTTCCTCTAATTCTTCTTCTTTTTTCTTCTCCGGACAGGTCCATCCGTACGTATGGAAGATGTTATCTTCTCCGAGAGATCTTCTTCAGTCCGGGTCACTCTATTTCCTTTTTCTTTTCGTTTTGTTCGAATTCGAATACAGTTTCATTTTTTACAGAACCCTTTCTCCCTACCTCATCTGAAAATATGTGCGACGAAGCCACCCGTCTTGCCAAGATTGGTCGCCAGGAGTACGATCTGATTCGTCTCCACGACGCGCCAAACTGTGACGACCAAACGAAATTCGAATGTGATCTCGAATTGGCTCGATTCCAAGTCATCCGCAGTCAACTTGCCTTGGTAAGAGAATCCAGAAAGTGTTCTTCTAACTTTTTGAATTGCTTCTTTTTTCTTTCAGAAAAACGTCTACAACGAGGAGTTCGTGACTCCAGCCAAGCTCCGATACCTTCGCGATGATCTCGAAGCTGCCGAGGAGCATCTTAAGAAGCTTCTCGAACTTTCGCATTGACACCCGATCGGAATATGATCGAATGAATCCCCCCTGTACATACAATTTTAACATGTTTTTGTGCAAATGATAAAACATTTTTATTTCATTTGACTTCACTGTAAATAACAAAATGGAATGATTAAGAAATGGGGGAATGTGGGAATGGCACTGGAATGTACATTTTTGACTAGAATATAATAAAGGAAAGCATTTTCTGGAATTAAAAATTAGAATCTTGTCACAATTAGGTCCTCATTGATATCCGAATCTGTGTCAGAATCGAAATAGGTCTTCGGAGGTGGTGGAAGAATCACAATAGGCTCTTTTTGCATCTGAAAGTATATAGATTACCAAATGTTTGTTCCCATTTTTATTTTCTCTCTAAATCTCTCATCTGATCAGCTGCTACGAGTTGTTTGTCCTAGATCTCGTGATATATCAATCCAAGCACCAAACAAAAGGTTTTTTTTGAAAGAACAACACAAATTATTATTAGCAATTTTCCTGGGATCCTACTTTTACCAAAGTTATCTCAGTTCCGGTAAAAAATAACAAAAAGTTATCAACTAATAAAATGTTGCTCATTTTATCACCAACATTTTATTAGTGGAAAACTGTTTTTTATCTCTTACAGGAACCGAGATAAATTGGCTCAAAAGTGGCAAGTCAGTGCTTGCCTGCTGAGCTTCGCGGTCGGCTGCCGACATCCTAACTTTGAGCCCATATATCTCGGTCCCTTTGAAAGATATCAAAATTATGTAAACTAATAAAATATTGCTAATTGTATCACTAATATTTTGTCAGATCACATAGTTTTGATATTTTTCACAGGAACCGAGATATATGTGCTCAAAGTTGGGAGGTTGCCGCCGACCGCGTAGCTCAGCAGGCAAGCGCTGACATCTCAACTTTGACTCGATTTATCTCAGTTCCTGTAAAAGATACAGAAAAATTGGCAACTGATAAATTGCTAATCATAATATCACGAACATTTTACGCGTTGACAAAATTTCTATATCTTGCATATAGGAGCCAAGAAAAATCAGCTCAAACATGACGAGGCCCTTTAATTACAGATTGAATCAAAAACTAAACTAAAGCGTTACCTCTTCTTCTTTTTGCACTTTGTCCTTCTCCTTCTCTTCTTTTTCTATTTCTGAATCCACCAACACCGTTTTCGTCGCCTCTGTCATCTCGATCACTTCAAACTCCTCCCCAATCACGTTTTCTCTTTTTTTCTCTTCTGCAACAATACTTTCGTCGCCGAGTGTCGGTTCCGTTGAGACCTGCAAAAAAGAACAACTGATTGTTGACTTTTTAGTGTCTGGTGGTTTCCTTGTGATTTCTATAAAGTAAAACCTGTAATAGAACACCGTCACGTTTGAGCTCAATTATCTAAATTCCTGTGGATGATATCCAAATTTTGTCAACTGCCAAAATGTTCTTCATAATATTAAAAACATTTTGTCTGTTGGACACTTTTTGATATCTTTCACAGGAACCGAAATAAATCGCCTCAAAGTTGAAAGTTAGTGGGGTCATCATCACATCAATGGAATACTCTCCAACCGTCAACTTTGAGCCCATATATGTCATTTCCTGTCGAAGATACAAAAAAATTGCCTAATGATAAATTGTTCACCAAATTATCAGTAATGTTTTGTCAGCTGACCACTTCTTGATATCTTGCATAGGAATTGAGATGATTGAGCTCAAACTTGACAGTGTGAGGGACATTTCTGCTCACCGTCTTCCTCGTTCTTGGTTTTGGAACTGGCACAAACTGCTCATCTACTTCCTTATCCTTCTTCAATACTTCAATCGGATCCTCCTCGACAGCAGATAGAACACTCGACACAGCATCAGATCTAGAAGACGTGGTGGAGACATCAGTGAATTCAGAGGACACTGTCATCCTTTCAATTGATCCAGGCATGGTTGCAGATTTGATTTTCTTATCAAACAAGAATCTTTGCATCACTGGTGACTCCTCACTCAAACGAAGATCCATTGCGTTCTGTTTGGACAACTTCCCGAGTCCTTTTGGTTCAAAAACTGGAGCATCGAAACTTGGAGCATCGTAAGAAGGAGGTGGACGATTTGGAGGCATACTAACCGGACGAGATGCATTGAAAGTCGGAATAGAAGGAGCCTGGATTGTTGGAGAAGATAGAGCTTCAGGGGGAAGACGTGGGGCTGGACCCTTCTTTTTTCTCAATCTTACAGTTTCTGGTTCCACTCCCAACTCGTATTTTTCCACTAAATGTTTCATAAACGCCCGATCCTTTTCATGTGCAAGAGTTGGATATCCAGATTCATCGGTACTGATTGTTGATAATTGTTCTCTATCATCATCATCCAAATCATCCAACCAATCATCCAATTCATCTAGAATCTTCTTTCCTTGAGCAGAAGTACTTCTTACAGTTGACATATAATTTCCATCGGGACTTCCTGGTGAAAGAATCGGAGTCTCCACTTTAGCTCTTGGAATCGCCAATGGTCGGTGCAACGGGGACAATGTTTTGAGGGGTGATGGGTTTTGCATGACCGGAATACAATCATCCAATCCGAAACTAAATCCACCCAAGTCACCGGGTCTTTCGATCACCATGGAGTACGGTTTTGGAGGCTCGATTCTGTCAGGTGTGTGGATTTTTGGTGATGGAAGGGGCTCTGAGACTTGTGAGCTCTTGGAGATAGATCTGAAAACCACTGGTGGGTCTGGACTGGCTTCGAATCCATCTTCGAAGAACAGATTAGGCTTGCTTGCTCTGAAAAATATAAAAATAAAAATTTTAAACTTACAAATCGGTTAAAACTCACTGTGACGGAGGCGTTGGTGGTGGCGGAGCTTTATAAGTTTTCTTGCTCAGTTTTGGTGGGGCGATATTCATGTATCGATGGGATGTCGGTTGATTCTCGTATCCTCTCACCACTTCATGATCTTCAGAATTCGGAGATGTTGGGAAGGCGTCATCTAGACCGACTCTCTGGAATTGTGCCATATTCAAGAGTAGATGGTGACCCTTACTAAACTCACAAGTGAAGAGAGAAACTGATAACAATTTTTTTATGAATCATTGCAATTTTATGAGGATTACTAAATTTCGACATTTACGATACACTAACTTGAATGTTGCCAGTATTTAGAAAGCTGGACAGATGTAAAAAAGTACCAACTTTTTGAAAATTGATTTGAGTTTTCATAAAATTTGAATAAAAACGATATACAGGTCGGCGCACATTTATCCGGACTGATAAAAAAGGTTATATATAAATATATATATAAATATATATAAAGAAACAAGTATCTTGGAAGCACAAAAATTGGAAGAAATATTTACGTTTGATTCAAAGCTTCTGAAATTTTTAAAACGATTCCTCCGATTTCTCAATTCTACGGATCGTTATGATTTTCCAAAGATGGACGGCGTATGTTTCTTGACTTTCATGAGATGGAGCAACTTTGACAAGCGATAACTCAGCTCAAAGTTGATCAATTATTTGAAACTTGGCCAATTTACAGATGCCCTATTCGATTTTGCGCCTTTCAAATTTGAGCCCACTGCAACGCCTTAATCAAGTTTTGTGCTAGTACAAACTTTAGTCCGCGTAATTATGCGCCACCCTGTAGATCATTCGTTGGATAAAGCCGTGCGGATTCAGAATTGAATTTTTTCAAATTTTTTTCAATTTTCTTATAATTAAAACTACAAACTACATTTTTGTAGTTAAAAGTTGTTTCCTAACATTGCCAGGAAAAAATTTATGACTCTCCGAAACATTTCAAGATTTTGGTATTGAATTTTTCAACAAAACAACATAGATTTGTAGATTTTTACCTCTTTTTTTTGCGACCGCAGTGTACTATTGGAGGAAGATGGTTTCATGTAGTAACTTCTGGAAATGATATCATTTTGGCTTCCTATTCTTCTTCTTTTGGTTCCACCTACCCTTCATTAACCGTTTCGAGTATATTGTCACTTCTCCGAAGATTTTCAATTTCTGATGCTCCCATTGGGCTAACATGTGCCAAATGCCTAAATTGGTTTTCAAAACAAACAACTTTTTTTGAACACAAACCTAAAGTCCGAAGGTAATGAGATCATAGATTTATCCAAGTGCTTTTGCTGATTCTTCGGTGGCAAAAGTGGCAAGTCGTTGGGCATTTTTGCCTCAGCTTCTGAAAAAAGATGATAATTCAAAAAAGGGGTGAAAAAGAAAAATCAATGTGGTCATACCGAAAAAACGTTGTTGCAAAAACTGTCGAAAACAGGGAGAGAGAGAAAGAGAGAGAGAGAGAGAGGGACAGATAGTGGCCAACCCGATAACAACGTGTAAGCAGTGTAGGTGATAAGGGAAGGAGAAGAATATATTATTAGATTGACTCATACGGACTTCCGACAAAAAACATTGAAAAAAAAGTACCTGAATGAGATAGAGATAGAAAGAGGTTTAGAAAGAAAAAGAAGAGAAAACATGTGTCGTTTTGATGAGTAATCTTCTTGCTTGGAGGGCAAACTGGGTCGGGTTTTATATATGAATGTTTGGGTGTTAGCATTAACAAAAAGAGAAAACTTCTGAACTGATTTCGTAATATAGGAAGGATTATTTTACCAGGATTACTTGTTCTCTGTGTTCTTGGAATTTTCGATGATACTTACTTCCTGATAGTAAATGATTGAACTTTTCACATTTTTAAGCATACATATTGATGAGAAGAATGCGGAAACTAGAAAAAAAAAACTAATCTGATTTTAAAAGTCTCTCAAATTTTCAACACCATGAAATCAATAATTTTTTTTCCGATTCCAGAATTATTTATCTTTAAGAGGGGCTATAAAAAAAATCGAAATTTTCTTAAAAACCTTTAAAGTGCTGACATTTCAGTACTAGAAAAAATCACTTTTCGAGTGTAAAATCGGCAATTTTCAAATTTGATTTTCATTCTCAGGAGGTTTCAGGAGAACTTTTTGTATTATACTTAAAATTATGTTGAATTTCATGTTTTTATATTTTTCTCAAAAATTTTTTTTTGGGAAAGGTTTGGAGAATTTAAAAATTTGCCTACACTATGGATGGGCCCAAGTTCCCATGCTTGGAATATTTTTTGAGAAAAATGTGAAAATATGAAATTCAAAATTTAAGTATAATACAAAAAGTTTCAAGTCGTAAAACCTCATAGGAGTGAAAATCAAATTTGAAATTTCGGACTTTACACTGGAAAAGTGATTTTTCGGTACTGAAACTGAAATTGCAGCGCTTTAGATACTTTTTAAGCAAATTTTTTAACGGGTGCATAAGTTTTAAAAGACGTTTTTTTACCCTGTATGCTTGGTTTAGGCCAGAAATTTTTCACTGATCCTAAACGAACGATTGGCGGCTGAACGGCGGCTGAGTAGAAACAGTTGTGCTACGTAGAAAAAAAACTCCGAAAAATTATCTGTCCTCCCTTTCAGATTGCTTGAATTTTTATCAAATAAAACTCTTCTTGATTCTGGACCACCTAAACAGTGTTTTATACGTACTTAGATTCTGAACTAGCATTCAACTCTCTTTTATTATTCTGAAGTCAAACATTTGTAGAAAAATACAAAAATTAATTTATAAATCTGCTAAAGTTGTTTTTAATATAGAGCAAATTGAACTAAAACTAGCGACTAAATTGATTGAATATCATCCAAAATTCCAATGGCTCTTCTCAGAATCTCCTCTGCCTTCTCCTCCTTCTCTTTTGGATCATCTTTTGGATCCAATGTGGTGTCCTTGTACATTTTGTAATAATAAGACAAACTGAAGAGTGACGTGGCATTCACAAAGTTAAAATGATCGGAGTAGGATTGGAGAAGTTGTTCAAAGGTGAAAGGAATCGAGTCAGAAGAGAACTGGTTTTGGAAGACGTCGTAGTATTTGTGGAGGTATCTGAAAATTGGAAAAAGGAGTTTTGAAAGTTGTTTTCATGATACCTCTCCGTATTTTCTTTTCTATCTTTCACTGACAATCCGAGACAGAAAATTCTGATGATGTCAAAAGTTACAGCGCCTTTTGAGATGTGTTGGAAGTCGATGAATGCTTGAATCTAAAAGTTTCGAGTTGAGGAAATAGCAGGAATACGAAAAAATTACATTTCCAGTTGTTTTGTTCCACAAAACATTAGAGGTGTTCAGATCATTATGGCAAATTACAAATGGCATATTTCTTTTCAACTTCAAGTTATCCGAGTTTTGAACAGAGTCATCATCGAATGCGTGCTTGACAGCTTGGATTCTCCCTGACAACTTTTCAGGACACAGAGTTTCGAAATCCAGAGTGTCGTTGTACTGAAAAACTGAAACTCCTAGAGCTCATAAATTTTGAAACTCACCAACATTCGCATCCAAGCCGCATCATACAAGTCATTGTTATATTTTTCCAATGGAATCCCATCTTTGATGGTTTTTGCATGAAATTGAGCAAGAGCACTCATCAATTGAAGAGTTTGGCTATCGTTGAATCCGGGAACAAAATCAATAGAAGCACCAATTCCAGAGAAATCTTCACACACTAATCCAGCCATTTCTTCGTTTTCTAGAGATTCTCCGTAATAGAATCTGGGAATTGGGAAACCGGGAAACTCAACGTTGTTGAAATCCTTGTAGAATTTCACTTCTCGCTGAAAATAAATTTAGGAATAGGTTTTTAGAATACTTGTAAAATTCCGGGCCGGCCCGGTGTCGAAAATTCTGTATTTTTGAGCCAAATTTTGAGCTCTCAATATAATTTTTTCCATTTTTTTTTTCGTTTTTTGGATTGTTTGTCTGTCTAATCAACAAAGATAGAAAAAACTCGAAAAAAAATCACATAAGTGTCCCCCCTTATGTGTTTTTTGAAAATTTCAAAACTAGTGAAATGACGGGCCCGCCGGACCGGGCCTCCGAAATGCCGGAAAAAGCCCGGCCCGGCCCGTTACAAGTATGGTTTTTAGTTTTATTTACCTCTGTGAGAGCTATCAGAATCTTGGTATTCTCTTCAGCATTATCTGGGTCACAAGCTAGATTGACGGCAGAAATACGTGGAATCTGGATTGGAATCAAAGATTTTGTAGCAGCAGAATTTTTCACAAACCTTCACAAAAAGCGGTGAAATAACCTTGTCTGAATAGTTTTTAGATTTCGGTGTAACCAGAATTTGATAACATTCGGACCAGAAACTTCTCGAGTTTTCAAGAGGCTTTATGACAATGTTTAACTGAAAACAGTGGACTACAGTAATACCCGAAAAGGTGAAAGGCAAACTAATATTCAGCCGTGGAAGAGAAATGCCGGTGGCCGTGGACGAAGGTTCCACAACGAGAACTACAGTATCCTAACGATATTTTTTGCAGAATTTATTTTCTCGTTGTTTACTGCTTTTCGCCGATTGTTCTGTTATTTTTCCCCTGACAAGCAGGAAAATTGAAAATTTTGACAGTAAGAAGTTGGCTGAAAACGAAGGGAAATCGAAAAAAGAACTGAAAAAAAACAATTTTAGGTTACAGAGTTGTCGTTGTGGGACCTTCGATCGCGGCCACCAGATTTTATTTTCCACAGCTTCAATCTTTTGCACCAAAATAATAACGATACTTACATTTTCGAATGGCTCCGGAACATCTTTAAAAATAACCGTCACAATCCTCGGAACGACTTCTGCAACCTCTGACATTTTCTGAAAATTTTTGGTTTCAGAAGTGACAGATCTAAACGATTTCCTGTGTAGAATTAGCATAAAACCACGGTCAGAGAGATTATGTGTCTGTTCACTTTCTAGTTTCTGTGATGTATGAGAAAGAGAAACTATTGAATAAATCGACCAGGAAGAAAAAGTTGTGTTGGTTGAAAGGAAATGTATACTCTTGGACAGACTAAACCCCATCATTTTTTCTTATCACATTCAGACCAGAAAGGGAAAGTTTAGACAACGATCGGGAAAAAAAAAATATTTATGGGATGGAATTTTATGAGATTTCGAATCAATGTGTTCTTGTAGGGTTTACAATCCAGGATTCCCAACCATGATTATGGCACTTCGTCCATCAAGCAAACTATTAAAGCAGATTATCTTTGCGATTAATCTCTAATTATCGAATAAAAAAAACAAAAAATCTGTTCACAGGTGTTTGAAGTATTAGTTGCTAAACCCCTCTGCTAAATCCTTTGTTTATGTAACATTATGTTCGATTCATTATTTTGGAATATATTCTCCCTTTTCCTTATTTCTGTTCTTTGTAAAATAAAAAATACTTTTTCAAAAAATACATTCCGTGTCGATGCAATTTAAAATTAGAAGCTATGCGCCTTTAAGTACGGTAGTGAAGAAAAAAATTGGTTGCAAAAAATTCGCTGTTTCTCTCGAATCGAATTTATATTTTGCACCAAGGACGAAACAAAATTTTGCGACAAAAACCATCAAAATATCGACCAAGTTATGGTGAATCAAGGCGTAAGTTATACATAGGCAAAACGGCGAGAACAAAGGCATACAAACGTTGGGGCCCCAATGGGGCGTTGTTCTCGGCGCGAAAGTTGCAAAATTTGAAATATCGGGAGATTCAAGTATGGCTCTTTTTCTCGCCAGAACTAAGTTGTTTTTATCGTATTGTTCTATCGTGATACTTATCGCAGGACCATAAACAGCAATTGATAACGCTACGATGTGATTATTGTTTCAGGAGATATGATAAAAAATGAAACCAATGAGTAGACTGTAAAGCTTTTATGTTTAATTTTATGAATTTCTCTATTATTTCGGCACTTTTTGAATAATCTGAAAAGTATCTTTCCTCTTTTTTCTCCTCTGCTGCCAAGAGTAGACAGTTGTTTTTTTTCCTTCAGGTGCTGCGTCTCTTCCATTGGTATACTCTTTCACCTCGCTCCCTCTTTTTACAAAAGTAAACATTTGACCCAAAGTGCACCGTAAAGTGTCCTCAAAACTTCTGATGGTCACTTTTCTTTCTGTTCTGAAGAGCTTGGATACCTCTCTTCCATTGGCTTCCATTGGCTCCAGTTTTGTTCGAAATTTCAAATATTATAGATACTATGACCCATGCCAATTGAACAATGACGAAAACTAAAAAGGTATCGTCGTATTTATGATATAATCATATGAGCTCCCACTTTCTTTAATACTATCGAATGATGGATTTCCTTTCAGGCACGCCAACGAGAGCTCATTGAAGACTCGCTGGATGACCTCTTCAACGATTCCGAGACCATTTCTCTTTCGCCGATCCAATGTAAAATTCCTATTCTGAATAAGTTAAGACCATCTTATTCCAGCTCTCCCACTAGAGAAACCTACATCATCACGACAAGAAAGACACCGAATTCAGGAAATAACACATCTGGATGAGGATGTACCTGTTGTTTCGAGTTTGCCAACCGGCACCTTCATGTGCAGAGATGATGCTCGCTTCGGAGACTATGAAAGTGACAAAGAGGAAAAGGATCGCATTTTCAAGCATATTCGTAGCTAATCTCTTCATTTAATAAGTGTATAATTGCAGAGAAGACTTGGATTCGTATACTAGCTTCGATTCCAGCAGAAGTTTCGAACCAGCAGACATTCCACTTACTCCTTTTGAACGTCTGTATGAGCCTCGAGAAGCTTGTTACTGGGATGCTCAAGTTTTTGCCGACTTTGAAAGTGAGAGTCGTGAACTAGAAAGATTCATGGACCAGCACGATCTAGCCAGAGCTTCAAATGCGTCGAGGAGAATCACAAAAGCAGAAAATGTGAAAGCAGTGCTCCCAAGATTCAGTGGGTTTTCAAGTAACAACAAAAACAACATTTAACCATTTATTCCAGGCGCTGCTGAGATCAAGAATCGTATGGAGAATAGAGACATCAAAGATTTATTTGGATACTTTGCTATGCTTCCTCATCCATTTTCAAAGTCAATTAAAAGCCGGGACGAGTGAGTTATTTTAGCTTATCATCCACGCAATATGGTTCTTCCAGAAGGAAAATTGATCTCATGGGCAAGTATAGCGAATATTTCAATTATTTCAATTATGCCAACCGTCCCGGAAGCCACGCAATGGCTAAGCATATGGCAATTCAGAATAAACTTGTTGAACTTCAAGCTTTCTTGGACGATCCGGAAGGGCGTCCGCCACCGGCTCCTGAAATAAATGTGCCTGTTAGAAGGATTGGGCCAAGCAAAAGACCAAAACCAGTCATCCTAATAGACGAGTCATCGCAGCGAAGACGGGTTGTGATTCCTGATGACGATCTAGTTATTTCTGTTAATATCCAAGAACAACAGCCTTGTACGAGCGAAGCGATTTTTGAGAAGAGGGTAGTGGCTGATGAAGGAGATGTTCGGATTCCGAAGAAAGTTCGGAAAGAACAGCGTTCCAGTGATGATCAACCTCCAGGGGTAACTCGAAAAGTTGTTCGTAACATTGATCCAAGCTGTGAGAGGGAGATTCTGCTTCGCCAGCAACGGAAAGAAGCAGCGATGAAGCGTGAAGCTGAGCATTTTGAGAATCAAAAAAGGGTGAACGAAGAACACGAAAGACAAGCTGCTGCTGAACGCGCTGAGTATCAACGTCGAAGAGAAGAAAAGGATAGAATGCGAGCTGAACGGATCAGGGAACAAGAACAGCATGAAGAGGAACTCCGGCAAGAACGAATTAAAAAGGCTGAAGCGCACAAAAAAGCAACGGAGGCTGCAGAAGCGATGAGAAAGAAACGAGAAGAAGAAAAGAAGCAACGGGAAGTAGCCGAAGAATTCGAAAAGCTAAAACAACGACTCGATATTGAAGCTAGAGAGCAAGAGGAGAGAATGGCTGCAGAGAAGAAATTACCGTAAGTGTATCGTGGTGAAATATTGGTTTCCCCCATAATTTCTACAAGAACCTAACTATTTACGTGGGTATCTCAAGTTCCCATAATGCAACGAAATACAGTAATCGTTCCGAGACTCATTTTAAGTTTAATGCATAGTTCCCTTTAAAGATACTGTAGCGGACTTATAATTTATTGCTAACCTTCATTTTTTTCTATTCCATTTCTCTTTTCTTGACACACACTTCTTTTCAGAGTTCCTGAGCCTATCGATACCACCAGTTTTCAATGCTTGCGAGTCAAAATGCCGAATGATTGGTCGAAGCGCAAAGGTACGCCCGACTGTATCATTGTTACCCAACCATATTGATTTCCAGATGCGTACTATAATCGTTATGAGTGGCCATCCGACGCAGCGCAACGAGAGATTGAAAGAATGAGCATTCCGAGAGGAACTGATCAGGGATTCATCGACATTCCATGGCAAGACTACCCCGGCACCAGACTGATTCCTCTGTTCATACCACCTTCGTATGCTCGAAGATCCGCTTCGTCTTCCGCTTCGTCTAATTTGTCGTCTGCGCGGAGCCCGGCTTTACCGGTCACTCCGGTTTACATTCCAGGAGACACCCAACTTCTTGATAAATTAGTTTCTGAAATCAAAGAATTGATGGGACCTGCTCGAAAAAATATCGCGAATCATATCTCCTTGAGTAAGTTTAGTTTGCGTTTTGTTTTTGAAAAAATCGGCCATTATTTTCAGCCGGGGAAGAAGTAGACTATCAGAAAATTCCTCTTCACAAGCTTAGAAGTTGTTTCGTGTACCCGTTTTTCCTTTCCGAAGGTCTCTATTGGCCTCTTTTCTTCATGCTAGATGACACTTCAACTGCAACCCATGTCGAAGCTCTCACCGTATGCAACACGTTCTCTGGGAGACATGCATCGAAATATCTCCTGACTACCACAGCTCAGGAAGACAGTGCTGCGAAAAAATTCGATTCGACTTATCACGATTGCGCCGGACCCTGGCACGAGTATTCTCAAAAACCAGGACGATTCAGCCAACGAATCGGCTACAAAGCACATTTAAGAAGTTCGACGTTGAGTTTCGAAGAGGAGAGAGATCGGGCTAGAAAGAAATTGAAAAATGATTTTGCCAACGAAAGGAGAGAAGAGGATGAACTTGAGCATATGATGGACGACTTTAGACGTCGAAAGGATGACAATAGAAACGAATTGAGAAAACACTTCACTTTGCATTTGCGTCAGCTCGTTAAAGACGCTCGTCTTGATGTGTTCTCCTTAAAAGAAACGTTTAGTGATTACGATAGAAACGTTGTGAATCATCCAGGAACTCGTACGACACCAATCGAATACTGGTGGCACATTCATGGCTACCGACTCTTCCTGAAAACAAGAGATGAAGAGTATGGGACGTTCATGCATCGTGCATGTGCTGACTATGAGAAATTGTTAGAACGAAAAGGATCGACTGGTGCAACGGCGTATAAATTCAGCGAATGGGCATTCACACCCATGCTTGCTTCTCTTCATTATCAGGTGAAGAAGTTTTAAGGTACTGATTTCAATTTTGATTATTTCAGAGCAAATACGCCCCGTATGATGTGTTCTCTTCCAAAGATATGAAAGTTTTGGCTGATAGGTACAAACAGTACAATGGGATGCTCAAGGAGAAGAAGTTTCATTTCGACAAATTGTTTGAGATCTGCAAACTGACGGATCTCGACAAAAAGCAATGGACGATTCTCAACGATCAACTAGTGTCCCATTTCCGGCAGTTCCGTAAGTTGTCGATTTTTAATCCTGACAAGTTTATGTTGTATTTTTCAGCCGCCATTTTCACTTTGATCTTCAATACAAATGGGGCCCTTATTCATCGCGTTGACTATGTCGTCGACAATATTATGAATACTGATTTTAAAGATAGAAATAACATGTGGAACGTCGCCAGGAATGCCAGACATGAATAGAAACATCTTCAAACTTTTCAATCACTTCTTACAGTTTTTTAATTTATTTGCCTGCCATCCCTTTTATTACGGGTCATCTCTTTTGCGGTGTTTTGTAACCTCTCCTCACATCCCTTCTGAATCAAACTGACATATTCTTGCTCGCCCAAATTCCCTGTTTTCACCAAGTAAAAGATTACGGTTTTATTATGTTTTTAAAAAGGCAGGAAACAATGATAGGGGGGAAAAAGTTGTTCGGTGGTGTTCGTATTTATGTCCCGTCAGTAAGCGAACGCTAGAAATTTAAATACAGAAAAAATGAAGTAAATGGTGAGGTGGTGGGGGTTCAAAGAAAGATGTGAAATAAGGAAAGGCAATTTCTAGGCGAAACAAATGAAAAGACATTAAAAAAGAAAGAGAGAATTGCAGAGAATTATTAATGGAATGGCTCATAATCTGACACATTCGATCAGAGTAGATTCCGATGAAGATTTCTGAAAACGCTTTCGATCAGAGTAGATCCTGACGCAGATTTATGAGACGAGGTTTTAGGGAGGAGAAAAAAGAAAAAGATGAGAGAACACGCATTTGAAAGAAAACGGTGAAAATGAGCAGATGTGAATGTCACAACATGATGAAAATTGAGGTTTTACACGACGTTTTCTTCCGGAACGTTTTTAAAATGCGCGCAAACGCCAAAAACCGTAAACTATAGTAACTAGCGTTAGTCTCGACGCGAAAGCAAAAAAAGAGCGGGAAAAATATTTTGAAAACGTTCCGGAAAAAAACACAGCGAGAATTATTAGTTAAATGGATCGAGAAAAGAAACACACAAGTACAACAACAACACGCCTTGTTTTGTGATGGTAGTCCGATTAATAGTGCCCTGCATATGCGTACCGCTGAAAAGAGAGAAGAAGCCAGTTGCAGATGTATTTTAGAAGATTATTCATTAAAACACACCGTCTGATTAGTATACCCGTTGTTAATAAAACTCGGCGGAGACTGTCGTTCTTGTGTTGAAAGACGAGCTGGTGAATGATTGGAGAGTGGAATGTTCCAGTAACTTCCGTACTGCGACACCTTTCCTGCCTTAAATGGATTAGATCTTATTAGAAGAAGAGCACACGACACACTTTGTTAAGCAGGGAATACACCTCAAAAAATAAACGAAAAACCAACCTGTTGACCGGAAAGAGTAGCCGGTTGGCCGCCGAGTCGTGCCGCCCTTTCTAAATGATCCTCATACGTGGATTCCTTTCGCTTTGACTCGTATGCCGTCGGACGGATACCATAGGAGACGCCGTACATGGCACGGAGTTGAGACGATTCTCGAGAGCTATTCCGTCGCCTATAACAAACGTAGGCACCAATACAAACTAGGATTACCATCCAGGCAAGGATTATGCTCACTGGTAGAAGGATGGCCATTCCTGGAAATTAAGCTGTTGTATCTAAGGATCCTTTAAAAAACAACTCACTTGACGACTGCTCATCTGCGTGACCCACATTCACTGTTGGCTCATTCCGCTGCTTCGGAAGTTGTGAGTTCACAACCACTGATGGTTGTTGCACGATCCTCCGTTGTGTGATCTCCATCTGTGAAGGTCGTGGCTTCTGAGTCGTCGTGAACACAAATATCGATGGAGGCACTTCTGTGCTTCTCGCTTCTGTAGTTGCCATTGTTGTCGTGGTTGTCGTTGGAGCCATTGTTGTAGACGTTGTTGTAGTACTAGTTGTTGTAGTTGTAGTCTCTTCATCTTCAGAAGTTTCCACCACATGAGCATCTCCGACAAGGTCTTTTGGTGGTGGCGTCAGATCTGGTCGTTTCTTCGTTGTTCGGAACTAAAAAAGTTATGAATAGAAAAGTTATTTAAATAGAAAAAAATCTAACCGCATTATCCAAAGATTCCAAGTCATCAGTAAAGTTGACAGCTTCAAATGGTGACTCTTCATTTTCTGACATATCCTCATCGATTGGAGAATGAGCTGGAGCAAGAGTAGTTGGTCGAGAAGAAGTCGTGGATTCTGTAGATGTGGACACTTCTTCTTTTAGTGGCTGAAAAATTCAAAAGTAACGGTATACTGTAATTCTTAAATCAATAACTTACTGTTTTGATAGAAAAGTCTGGAAGGGGTCTTTGTGTAGACTTTGGAGAAGAACCGACTCGTTTATTTGGACGGAAGAGTTCTGGTTGAACAGTGACAAATGGTGGGAATGTGACTTCGAAAGCATCTGGTCCAACTTCAAAGTCTTCATCCGAAAGGGATACAATCGGACGATGTGGAGTACTGGAGAAGTTTGGACGAGGTCTAGTCGTAGCCTTTGTAGTTGGTCGTTTCGGTTGATTAGCAATCGGGGCACTTGTTACAGTAAGAACATTGTTCGAATTTCTTCCTCTCGTTACAGTACCACCCCCTCGAACCAGAGTTGGCACGATGGTCTCTGATGGCTGATCAATTAAGAATGCTCCTGGAGATGGAAGTGTCAAGTCTTCCTTCTTCTCTTCTAGAAGTTTTGAAGGGAGTCTTGGTGCAGTACTCAAAAGATGGTCACAATAGGGAGGAACTTGAATTGGTTGAGCACATGGCATGAGTTGGGGTTTATCGATACGGTAAAGCCAGGTTCCTGGTTGTTTGATGTTACTATTCTTAGCTAATTGTGCGATAGCCTCAGTTCCGGATGCTGGTAGAAGGATGGAGGAAGAAGCATCGGAGGAAAGGATTCCAGCTTCTGCTCCACTTGCCCATGGGAGATCTCGATACATTAATTCGACGAATGTCATTTTTTCGTTTCTAGCACCAGATCCGTCTATTAAAAGAGCTTGGAATGTGTTGCCTTTCTGAAAAAAAACTAGATCTTCCAAAAAATAATATTTACCTTTAACTCACCGACTGTCTTCCATCAGTCACATTTGAAAAAGTAACTACTAGGGCACTCTTTGCTTCGAAACTTGGATCATTATAGTTCTCAGCAATCGTCCTTGTCACCCTTCTCAAAACTTCCACATCATCCACCTCTTCTACACTAACAGCTCCATTTCTCGATAAATCAATTGGTCCAAAGAATGGAGCAATTCCAACCAATTGCATATCTTCTAATCTACCTCCATATCTGTTAACCTCATTGACAGCAATCAATCCTGTTGATGTCACTGTTAATTTTTCTGTATTCTCTCCGAAGATTTTCATTGGTTTCTTCAAATTCCATTCCATTTTTGAGTTCTTCTTTCGTGGAAGTTGATGGTGTGTATCGTATTGGAAGAGGAATGACTGGGAACAATCATTCTGTCCATCTCCACTGAATCCCTCTTTACACATGCAGAAATATCTTCCAGGAGTATTAGTACACACTGCATTTTTATGACATATCGTTGAGTTGGCTCTGCATTCATCGACGTCTTCACAATTGTTATAACCATCTCCTTTGTATCCATTCAAACACTGGCAACGTTGAATCGGCTCACCACAACGATCATAATCATTGAAGGATAGAGCATTGGATGCGCATTGAGTCTTTGTTGCA